TAGGCTGGCCTGGTTTTCTCTTTCCAGAGTAAAGGCTTCCTCTCAAATAAACTGAATTTTAACTGGCAGGTCAAGAGTCAGGGAAGTGACAGCCAGGGTGTGAGGCATGTGTGTTTGGGCACAGGCTGCTCTCAGAGGAAGCCGGGCGGGGGCGGGTGGCACGTGGCGTGGGGAGGAGAGACCTGGAGCAGGCCGGGTGTCGACGGGGCGAGCGCGTGGTGGCCGGTTCCGGGCGGGAGGTGCTGCCGTGGCACCCGCGGTGGGTGCGTGGGCAGAGCAGGGCCTGGAGCCCCGTGGCCTGCGGAGGACAGAGGAGCTGCCCATTGGCCACCCTTGAGGGCGTGCCCAGAAGCCCGCATGCCCACTCTGGTGATTCAGAACAGACCTTAGTTTGGAGAAAAGCGCTTCAGACGCCGAGGGTTTTCCCCTCCCTGAAGTGCTGCAGAGAAGCAGGGCAGGAGGGGAAGGGGACTTCCAGCAGCCGCTGGCCGGGAACTGGTCTTCCCCTTGAGTGCCGCGCTAGGTCACCGGCAGGCGGGGAGCGCCACCTGCCCTCGCCGGCTGCTCCCTCCAGGCCTCGGCTCGTGGGCCTGAGCGGGCCCCTCGCTGAGCCCTGGGGAACCACTGACAGTGGCTGAGCCACAGCAGGTCACTTCTAGCCGCCGGGGGAGAGGGGGCACAAACACAGAGAAGCAGAGACCTGCAGAGGCTTCCAAGCAGGCCGCAGGCGACGGCTGGTTTCGAGCTGACCTAGGGGTGCAGGCGCAGCTGGCCCATGCCCAGCCCTCAGCCCTGCCCGCACGCCCCTGCCCCGATCCCGCGCTACCCTCTGACCACCCCGGGGACAGGTGCCGGCTGTGCTGTTCTCACTTACAGAGGAGCAAACTGAGTTCAGAGAGGGGACCCGGCCACGGTGGCTCCAGACTGTGCCCCCTGAAGAAAAGAGGAAAAGCCACTCTACTGGGCACCTGCCATGTGGCCAGGGCCATGCAAAAGGACCCTCAGCCAGAATGGCCTCAAGTCTCATTGGCTAGGCCTGGGGAGGGGCGTGTTCCAGATGATTCCAACACCCCTTCGCACCTGTTTTGCCTCCATCCTCCTGCCAACAGCGCCGGGACGTTGGGATCAGCAATCGGGTTTCAGACGAGCACCAGGCGGAGCACAGGCAGGCCCGGCTTCTCGCGGGCCCCACGGGAAGGTGCTGAGCCCCCGGCCTCAGTGTCCTCATCTGCGTGAAGGAGATGCCACCCGACCCACCCCTCCTTCCCTACACCTGTCTCCCCACGCCCAGGGCCTGGCCTGTGGCGTGGACACCTGGGACGGGAAGGGAGGTGGCTGAGCCCACAGCAGCTGCCGTCCCCTGGTCCTGTCCACCCGACGCCATCTTCCACCTTCTCCCTGGGCATCCTTCCAGCAAGTTCCTTTCTTCAGACCGAAGTGGAGATGTGTGAATGCCCACGTGCCCACGTAGCAGGGCGGCTGTGGGGATGAGGGGGGCTGTGGGCCAGGCCCTGGGCCAGCACCCAGCACCCAGTGGGCGCGGCCTGCGGTGACCAGGCCGTGGGGCGGAGCGGGATCCAGCCCAGCCCAAGGGACCCCAGAGCCTTCGCAGGCCCCAGTCCTGTGGTCAGACGTCCAAGGAACGGATCTGAACTAAACCCGGGCTGGTGGGGAGGGGGCCATGCGGCCGCCAGTGCGAGGCTGGGGCGGGGGGGTTGGGGCTGTCTCCTTCCTCGGGCATCGCCTCAGCCCTGGCATGCAGGGGCGCCCCGTTGGTTCTTTACACTCAATTTGGGTTTGCTTCAAGGCCCAGAAGTTCCCGGCTGTTTCTGGGCCGGGCTGGAGCCGGAGCGTCAGAAGTGTTGGAGAACCTGTGGTCTGGTTTCCAGGGCTTTCCAGGGCTCACGCTGGCATGTTTCCGAGTTGCGCCTGCCCTCCCACTCCACCTCACTCTGCCCGCCTCGGCCCAGTAACAACACAGCCACTCCCGGAGCTTGTCTGGAGACGCAGGGCTGTGACTGCCCCATTTCACAGGTGCAGAGCTCGAGGCTTGGATGGAGCTACCTGCCCAACAGGTGAGGGACGCAGAACACGGACCGAGCCCGGCAGGCGTGGGCAGGGCACCCCTGATGGGACGCGGAGGCCCAGCCTTGGAGTGGTACTTGGAACCCGAGGCAGGAGAGTGGGGAGGGGCTGGGGAGGAGAGCTGGGGAACAGGGAGGGACCCCAGCCATACACCCCGCTCCCCGCGGCTGTGACAGGCTGAGGGGTCAGGCTGCTGAGGAGCCTCCCCTTTGCTAGGCCACGGCCTCCCGCCACGGCGCGCAGGAGCAGCACGCCACATTCCTGGTAATGCTTTTCTCTTTTATTGCCAAGTTCAAATTTACAAGGAAGTTCCAGTTTTCATTTCCGCCCTCGTGTTCGGTATCCACGCAGCATGAGTCACGCTGGCGAAAGCAGGTACTTCCCTAGCACGGTCCCGAGGCTCAGAAGCATGGACCTCTCCTAACCCCAGCTCCTCCTCTTCCCGGGGACAAGAATTCACATACTTAGCTCAAAGGAACATAAGGAGCCATACGGTTTATGCCCACATCAACATGACTACATTACATGTTCCATATTTATTGCGTCTAGACGAGATCACAGTTCACCCCGTGCCTTTAAGAACAGGGCATCTCAGAGAGGTCCTGCGCGTGTCTCTCACGGGTGTCTCCTCACTCGGCCCCTGGATCACTCGTGGACGCCAGCGTCTGGGTCTCGGGAGGCTGCCTGCTGCGCAGCGGGGCTGGCCTGTTCGGAGGCCCCTCCTTGGTGGACCTGCTGGGAGAGGCGCCTGCGTGCGCACGTCTCCACGACAACTTTCAGAGCCAAGGTTTGGGGGTCCAACGTGGCCAACCTGACACGCACACCCAGTGGTGGCCTTGGGGCGGGGCAGGGTCCGGGCTGTAAGAGCCCTCCGCAGGGACTCAGAGGTGGTGGCCTGGAGGGTCTGCGGAGGCTCATCTGTGGCCTGCGTGTCAGAGGCCACGGCCCCTGCTCCCGCTCTGGCTGCCCTGTGCCGAGACCAGTGTGTCCTGTCTGAAGAGGCCTGTCTGGGGGCGTCCCAGCTGTTAGGTGTGCGGGGTACTCCTGAAGATTAAGCGGTGCCCACTGCCACCAAGATGCCCAAGACCTGGGCAAGGTGGGGTCCTTTAGAGCCAAAAAGGCTGGCTGCCTCCTCTGGGCTCCCAGACCTCCTGGCACAGGGTGTGTGTCCCTCCACCTCACCAGCAGAGTGTCAGGGAGCCCCTGGCTAAAGGGCATCCCCATCCTACACGTCCGTGGTGTCCCAAGGCAGGTGCCAGCCCCCAGCTGAAGGAGGTTCCTGGGAATGGCCTTGCAAGCCCTTTTGAGGGACAGGCCTGTCTTTGGTCGGGGGCACAGTCCTTCCGGGGTGCTGTCCACCCCCTGCCCAACACTTGTCTCCTTTAGTGCTCAGCGCAACAAGGCCAGCCGGAGCCCCGGGATTTCTGACGGCAGCCTGGCGGTCCACGAGGGCCTGGGCCCACCCGCGTGGTGCGTTCAGTGAGCTGCGGTCACGCCGCTGGGTGGGGCAGTCACTCGCCCTCTCTCATTTCTGCCGGCCCAGAGACGGAGTCATCTCAAAACCAGAAGTGCGCGGCTCCAGGCGAGCCAGCTCGGGTGACAGATCCCAACGACACGGTCCTTTCTCCCCAGACCCTCTGCCCTTCTCCGCCCCGTCCTTCTTACCGCAGGGGCTCTGCTGATGGTCATGGCTTGTCCTTCCTTGGAATCTCTGCCCATGTGGCCTCCTTACGGAGCTGGGTCTTTTCTCTCTTGAAGCAAAGGTCCTGGGCCTGTGACTGTGCCAGCTGGTGGGCACGGCTACCCAGAGGGCTCTGATGACCGGAGAGACCTGTCCCAGGGGCTCCGCTGGCCCTGCTTGGTGGACCACTGGGTTTCCTTCATGACGCTGAAAACTGACCTTGGCAGGCCCTGCGCGACAGCTGGTCTGGCAGAGGTGGTAAGGACCGCGTTCCTCTAAGAGGCAGATGGTGAGATCTCAGGGTACCTCCTGGGGCCACGCTAACGCCAGGCTTCGGCGGGCACCGACACCCTGCTGGACACGTCTGCGGGCGTACTTGGGGGGACGCCTGGAAGGTCCTACCACTGACTAGAGAGGCAAGGGGCCGCTCAGCTGTGTCTGGCTGCCAGGCAGACAGGATCACCGCTGGGGCTGCATCAGATGCGCCAGCCCGAGTGCAGACGGGAACCGCGGGGTTTCCATCTTACCATCAGCAGCGGCAGAGGAGAGGCAGAGTGGGACAGGCTCGGAGCTCCAGGGTGGCGGCTGGCCCTGGGTGTCTCTCAGACACCCACACCCAGTGGGGCGGAGGGCAGCTTCCTTTAACTTCCGTCACGGCCACTGGGTCTGGAATCTTCACGCCCCAGATGGTCCTTTCTTGGACAAACAGAGACACCGACACCGAAGACGACGCTGGAGACCATCCGTGTTTGGTTTCGGTACAGAGGGAGGAGGACGCATCCTGAGTGGGGAGCTGGCTGCGTCCTCCCCTTCCACGGGGAGGTCTCCGGCCGGAGACACAGGCCTCTTGGCTGCTACAGGAGAGAAACTTTCGGCCCTCTCAGCTGTGTACCTGAGAATACATGTATCTCCCTTATTTTTGTTTAAAAAATAATCTAGACTTTCCAGGAAGGTACTTTATCATTCCACAGGCTTGCAGAGTTGCTGAGTAACAAAGAAATAAGAATCGCTTAAATAAATGGAGACAGCCACACTGAGAGCCCTAGAAGAAAACATGGGGAAGGTCAAGAGAAAGTGAAAATGAAAATGAACTCTTAACAGTATTATTAAACTTTTAACATGACATCAACACTTAGCGTTGAGGATTTTTTTGGACTCTTTTTTTTAAATAGATGCTTTTAAAAGAAATGCTTTTCATCTGCTGCCAAAAGTGGAAATAAATAGCCAAAGGAAATGGATCATCTAAGTTCACTTTTCTACAAATTTCTCCCTAAAGGGACCTGGTCCAATTCGTCAGCGCACGCTGGGGATGGGGACAGAGGAGTGGTCTGAAGGGAGAGGTGCCAGTGGGTCCTGCCACCCAGGCTCAGAGACGAGGAGCTCACCCTCCTCCCTGCGGTGGTCACTGCCGCCATCTGCACTCGCCGGGGTGTCTCCACCAGCCCCAGCCCGTTCCCGAAGAGGCGCTCAGTGAAAGAAGATGCAAACGGAGCCCAGTCTCCCTCCAACTCGAGGCGTGCAGGGCCAGGCGGTTGGGATGGCTGCTGGGGGCTGCTCCCGATGTGTCTCGCCAGTCGGCTGCACTGGGGTCCCTGCCCGGGGGGCCGAACACACAAAAGGAGGCCCCGGCGCCGACTCAGTGCCCGGAGGGGCCTGCGTGCTCTGCACATGCGGTGTCTTCGTCCAGGGGCTCTGTGCACACTGCGGGTGGTGCGGGTGGCGGGGGGATGCTGGTGAGGGTGCGGAGGCTGTGGGGGTCGACGGGGGGGACGAGGGTCAGTGACTCGACGCTCAGTGTGTCGGCAGTGTCCTCGCAGAGCAGGGAGAGGGTGGGCTGCCGGGCGGGGACCAGGCTGGGGGACAAGCTGGCTGTCTCCAGGGCTGCACCCCTGGCCACAGTCTTGCTGGGCTTGGAGTCTGCTTCTGTTTCGTTGACGATCACCAACTGGTCAGGAAGGTGAGGCTGAGGTTGTTCTGGAATCGTGGGGGCATCTGGGTTGGGGGAGAAAAAACAAATACCTTGAGCCCTGGAGCTACTCTGCTCAAGCCGCACCCACTTCTCCCGTCCTGCCCCAAGGCCCCGGGCAAGCTAGGTGGGAGATGGCTGGCTGGGGGTGGGGGCACAGGGTGGCTCCACTGACTCCTTCTGGGGACACAGAGCTGCTAAATCCAGTCTTACTAGGTCTGGGAAAAATGTGTCAGGGCCCGAGGCTACCCTGACTTGTGACGCCAGGGAAAAGTTGGGGGCCTGTGCGAAAGGTGTGTGGATTACAAAGCACAGCTCCTGGGTGCAGAGACCTGGCCCAGGCAGGCTGTTCGTGTGGGTGGAGCTTGGACCATCTGCCTGAGGACAAGTACTTGGGCTTGGGTGTGCTTATAACTTCAGGCCATTTCCAGAGTCTACATCTGGTGACTTTTACCCAAATG